TGTCAGGGAGAGTGAGGCAATGAAACATAAAGCAATAATGAAGAAGCAATCTGTGCTGATTTCCAGGCAGCCAGGGTTATCAGGTCAAAGACATCAGGAGTTTCTGGAGAGAATTCTGGATGCTGGTTAAAAACCCTAAAAAGTCACAGGTTTCCTTTAAATCACATCCATTGCTCCCCTCTCCTGTTCTACTGCACATAAAGCAGAAAAATGCCTGGACTGAAACATCCTTGGAAAAGAAATGGTGATGCTACTGCCCTGGGGGATGATGCTGGAAAACTTTGTGTGTTCCTTTGTCTGCCTTTGCCCATGGAAAAATCCATCAACAATTAAGACTTTAGAACTTTATACAATTATTGTATTCTGTGTTAAGTGAAACATAGGAATTGATATTTATTGTGCACATCATAATCCTGTGTTTAGCCCCAAAAAGGACTTAAGTTCGATAGCCAGAGAGACCATATGTCAATAAACATATGGGCTATGTATGTTACAGATATATTATGAAGCAGATTATTTTGTGAAATAGCTGAGAGCTTCAGGAATTTTTGGAAATTCCTGAAAACAGTATGCAATTGTAAATGAAGTGCCTAAATTATTTGAGATTATAATTTCAAACAGGGTTTCTATATTATAGAGTCCTTTGTACTTGCTTTTAAGACTGTGATTTATCTTGCACTCTATAATTTATTTTGCAATAGTACATATCTCTTAGCAGAGCCTACATTTATTTTCACAATTAGGATCATCGCAATCTTTTGCTTTTGTTTGTAACATTTGCATCTGTTTACTGGAAATTTCTTTGAGCCAGTACAACTATATTTTATACAGCCCTGTCCTGCAGTGGCAGAGAACTGGAAAAACACTCTCACAAAGACTTCAGCTCATCAGTTTTAACAGTAAGATGTCCTCAGAGAACCAATTTAAACTTATTCCTAGAATAGGTCCCATGAAGGACTCCATTTGTCTGCAGCAAGCAGGTATTGACCATTCCTATCTGTCTCTAATGCAATGCCTCTGACCATAGAAATGGGGATGGACATGTTTTCTGCCTGAGATTTCAGCTAGAAAAGTACGTATTAAAGTGATTACCTCAGAAAGCACAGTTTTTCAGTCTTCCTCCAGTTTTCTTCTGGAACAGACAGTAGACAGCTTCTGGGACACAAGTACGGGGTGGGAGCTCATGACTTTTGAGGTGATGTTTAGTTGGCTGCAGGTTCAATGATGATGGAAAATGCTAGGATTTCAGTAGTGGTGGTAGTAATCTGGACTTTCACTGCCAATCAAATAATTTAAGAGAAATAATTACAATGAGAAACTCAATTAGAAAAAGCCTTTATATAGAAAAACATCCTCAGATGAGAAGTAAAGGGTACTTTGCCCCAAACTCAGGTAAAGCATGTGGCAGTGATGTCCTTTTAAATATTTGCATCAGCTTGGTTTACATTTCTTTGTGCAGCTTGTCATTCTCAACAGCCTGAGCATGCGACTGTGCTGAATACACTAATTCCAACAAAAAAGAATGCACAAGAATGCAAAAAAACCCCACAGTGGTGCAAAAGGATGTCCTTAAAGATAGATTTCAAAATATATCAGTAACAATAACATCAATTATTTTAGGAAGCGCTGGAAAATGGAGGCATTTCACACAGCGACTGAATGAAATAGTCAAATAGCACAACACACTACCTGCAATGACAGTCATAAAGTGTTCACAACTTTTAATTACTTTGCCATATGCCTGCTTTCACAACATGTTTGCAGTGAAGTCGGCTATACAAAAACCTGAAGATATACAAAAGTCTGTGGCCGTTCACAGACACGAAAATGAGACTTCCAGTCAGCTTTCCATGAGCTGAGAACTATTGCCAGCTCTTTGCTGTAGTAACAGGAATTTGTCTAGAAGTGTCAAAAGGTCTTTATTGCTGTCTGTAGACGTCTCCCAAGTCAACTAACACAGCAAACAAGGAAGTGGAGAAACAAGAAGGCGGAGACTGCAACGCAATATTTCAACCCTTCCAGTATTAAATTCTGAGACTCAGAGAACAATGAGGACAGAAATGATGCATGAAATAAGTGGGTTTATGTCAGAGGCGTTATCAGGAAAAGCTAATATCTGTTTTGTGCTGCAGTTAATGATCAAGAGCATATTAGCATGTGAGAGTGAGTTAAGTTGCAAATGCCCTAAAACCACCTTGTGATGGAAATGATGTGGCAGAGTAATGAAACCAGCGGTGCCAGGGCTGGAGCGATGCCTCCAGCCACCGAGGCCATGTGGGGAGCAGTGGTTCATCACAGCAGCCTGCAAAGGGCAGCACCCTGCAACCCAGGAGGGACGAGGTTTCGCTGCCAGCTGATGAAGTCTTGTCCTGGTACTGTTATTATTAATTATCTCAGTGCAGCGTGCCTGGGCATCCCAATCAGGTATGAGGACCAGGCTGCATGTCACATTATAAGAAATAAGAAAAAGTGTCCTTAGCTGTACCTGATTTTTTTGGAGGGTAGCTTAAGCCGTTCCTGTAAGCACACACTCCTGAGAAAGGACCTGTCAAAAAACAGGTGTCCCCAGAAATGAAGCACTGCATGAACATTGATCATAATGATAATTATTTTGCAGTTTGAAGAGGAATGTTTTTAACATCAGACAACTGTGGATAATGGTCCTTTTCCTGCCAGTTTTCACCAAAGGTCACAACAATCCCAATGTAGCTC